GAGGAGGACCCCCCAGCCTCCCTGGGCAGCCTGTTCCAGGTCTCCGTCACCCTCAGAGGGAAGAAGTTCTTCCTCGGGTTCAACTGGAGCTTCCTCTGCTTCAGTTTGTGCCCGTTGCCCCTTGTCCTGTCGCTGGGCACCACTGAACAGAGTCTGGCCCCGTCCTCCTGACCCCCACCCTGCAGATACTTGTAAGCATTTCTAAGGTCCCGTCTCAGCCTTCTCTTCTCCAGGCTGAATAAGCCCAGCTCCCTCAGCCTCTCCTCGTAGGAGAGATGCTCCAATCCCCTCCTCATCCTCGTAGCCCTCCTCTGGACTCTCTCCAGTAGCTCCTCATCTTTCTTGAACTGGGGATCCCAGAACTGGACAGAGTACTCCAGGTGGAGCCTCAATAGGGCATTAGGTCTCATTAGACCGAGAAAGTAAGGCTTTGGGGCTTTTGTCTTTCCGTTTCGCCATCTCAGGATAACGCTGCTCTTGTACTGTGTGGTTTTCGCGGTGCTTTGTCAAACTGCAGCCATGTGATGCTTGAGGAGGTCAGGACCCAACGTACCACAGTACATGGTGTCGAGCGCAGCTTCCTCGGAAGCGCTCTGGAGGCTCTCTTGACCAAACGGAGCCACCAGCTTTGCGCGAAGTTGTCCTGCTCCGTCAGGTTCATTCGGTTCCACTCTCTGCAGGCCTTGGACTCCAGCGCCTGCTTGGGGCTTTCGAGGCAGCTCAGGTGCCCTGCGCAAAGCTCTCAGCTCTCCGTCCCTCTGTTCTCTTTTCAGTACAAAGGAGCCAATATTCAGCTGCTGGATCTGCCCGGAATCATCGAAGGAGCAGCACAAGGTTGGTGGATCTCTGTGTTCCTCTAAAGTAGGGATTTGCCCTCAATAGCGTACCTGGGCGTCTCGGATGTTAGCAGGTTCCCTGGGCCTATAGTTACCACATTGGCTTTCCAAATTTTGGAGTCCTTGATCTTATGTGAGGCACGATTCTTATCCCCGAGCCCACGTAAGATTCTATATGTAGCAGAAAGATGCTTTCTGGAGGTGGGAGCCAAAGCAAGGCAGTCACTTCTCACCTTCTTGCATGAGTGTTAGCTTGCTCATCTGTTTTCTGGTAGAGAGGAAATCTAAAGAAAGATGCTACAGAGGCGGAGGGGGAAATTACAGCTAAGCAGTAACCTCTTTTGACTAATTTCCTGGGTTTCTGCCAGTCCTCCCATGACTCCTGGTTCTGGGAAGAGGTGTTGGCTTTGTCCCTCTGCTTTGTCGTTGTCCAGATTGGCTGGTCATGTCCGAAGACGCCTGAGGAAACCTTGGAAAATCTCCTAATTGTGTTGGTTGTTTTTTTTTTGGAGGCTCATGGCCTGATTAATAAGGTCTGTCTCCTTTTTGACCAGAAAGTATAGTTACCTCTCTGCGCAGGGGCTGCAGGCCCACGTCGCTGTTATGGGCGAGCTGGCTCCGCTCCCTGGAGCTGCTGCCGTTGCACGTGTCTGGGGCCGTCTGTCCTGCTGGCAGAGATGCCATTTCCACCCATGCAGCCGCACACAGATGGCTTTACACACACTGGTTCAGGTGACCTGTGATGTGGGAGCAGCAGCAAAGAGTATTTGTCAGGGCCTGTGCTGGCCATGGGACAGTATGGGTGGAGCAGACACGCTCGCTCAGGGCCCCCCGGCAGCTGACCACAGCCCGTGCTGCGCTGCGGGATCCTGTTCCTCGCTTCCTCGCAGCTGTGCAGGGCGGGAGTCCCGGTCTGTCGCAGGGCTCGTGGCTGGCTTCTCTCCCTGATGTACGGCCATCTCCTCTCTCCTCAGGGAAGGGCAGAGGTCGGCAGGTGATAGCTGTGGCCAGGACAGCAGACGTCGTCATCATGATGCTGGATGCCACAAAGGGTGAAGTACAGAGGTAAGTGCGTGCTTCTGGGCACGTGGAGCTGTGGGGTGGTGGGCTGGGTTCGGGGGTTCCCACACGCCCAGGAAGCGTGCCCGCTCCCTGTGTGTCCTGTGCGTGCTGGGGAACCAGTATTTAAGCTACTGAGTGTGAGATGGAGGTTGTGCTCCACTAGCAGCACGCTAGCTGACTGGGAGCAGCATTGACAGAGCTCTCTCCAGATCGCCACTTGGATTTCTCAGCTGAAGGATCGCTCCCGCAGGATGGCCGTTCAGAGATGGGGAGCTTAACCTAGATTTCTGCCACAGGCTCTGTCCTGCGTTAGCTGTGGTTTTTGGGTTGCAGTGAAAGCTGCTGGTGAGGCTGGGTCTACGATAGTCAAAAAGGAAAGGTATGGATGTGACCTGTCTGGCCCAGTCTCAAGGTACTAACGTGCAGTTTTCCTGCAGGGCCTTGCTGGAGAAAGAACTGGAATCTGTAGGAATCCGGCTGAACAAAAGCAAACCAAATATCTACTTCAAGGTGAGGTTTCCTGGGCTGCTGTGAGCGCAGCTTGTGTCTGGCTGCCCGCCCAAAGCCGAGGTCACTGTGTGCTGCCCCTCGTGCCGGACAGACTGAAGGCAGGTTGCGGATTTTGCGGACAGTTCTTAAGTTGCTTTATTGCCTCCCTGCAGCCGAAGAAGGGTGGGGGTATCTCCTTCAACTCAACTGTCACATTGACTCAGTGCTCCGAGAAGCTGGTGCAGCTCATCCTCCATGAATACAGTATCCTTTCCTAAAACGGGAGACCTCGGAGCCGTCAGCAGCTCGTGAGTCGAGTGGTGCCTGCTGCGGGACAGCCTTGTCTTTGGTGCCTGCTGGGTTGAGAACAGCCTTGCAGCAGCAAGCTCAGCCCCTTGGCGCGCAGTGGCGTGTGGATGTGTTGGGATTTGGGCCTTGACGATGTTCACCTCAGAAATCTTCAACGCTGAGGTCCTCTTCAGAGAGGATTGTTCCCCTGATGAGTTCATCGACGTGATTGTAGGCAACAGGGTCTACATGCCGTGCCTCTACGTGAGTATCTCGGGAAGAGCCTGCCTTCTGCAGCACCGAGCACCTCCATTCTGTGCTGAAGGAGACACGGGGTCTTCCTGGTCCCTAAAGCAGTAACGATTTGGGATTTAGCAGCTCGACAGGGAGCTTTGGCTAAGCTTGATGTGCCTGGCTGTGCTCTGCGTGTGTTCCCTGTGCCCTCTTGTGGCTGGCTCCCGTGGAGCAGCGCAGGTTGCGGGTGTGTCCGTGGGGCTGGCTCCCGCGGCGGGGAGCCTGCGGTTCCTGTGCGGCAGGCTCTGCGCTTGGGTTTTCCCCTGTGCCCCAGGTCACCTAACAGCTCTGACAGCGGCTGGGCCTACGGGGAAATCCAAGATACTGGAGAATGCGTTGCAAGTCATCCCAGCGGGAGGACTTTAAAAGGCCCAAACTTATATTTAGGCTTCTGAATTTTCACAGTTTGTTTTACTAAAAGCCTTGGCTTGTCCTCTGGCTGACAGGATGTGAGTTTCTGTTTCAGATGCTGGAGCTACCTGGTTACACCTACGTGTGCATGTCTTACTTCCTTGCAGTGTTGCTGAACTGACTTCCTAAAGGGTGTGTTGTTTTTCCTTTGGCTTAGGTTTATAACAAGATTGACCAGATATCCATGGAGGAAGTGGATCGTCTTGCTCGGAGGCCCCACAGTGTTGTCATCAGGTAGGCGCGTGTCGCACTGGCCCGGGTGGTGTGGTTCATTTCACAGCCCTTTCTCCAGTTTCTCCCGAGAAGGGGCTTCTCCCAGGGCTGCCCGCAGCCGCTTCGGGGGGCTTCCTTCCCCTGGAGAGGCAGGCTGCTTGCCTTCTCCATGCTGTCTGCAAGCCAGAGTAAGCCAGTCGAGCTTGTTTCTTTGCGAGTGGTGATATATTTGACTGGGGCTTGCTGCTTCAAAGCTGCTTGCCCTTCTGAAAGCCCCATTTATTTCACCTTGTTTATTTCCTTTCCTGGCCACATAAAAGACTTTTCCCCTTGTTCCTTAGCACTTTAATAAGACATTTCACCTTGTTCTTCTGGATCTCTAAATCACAACAGCAGTAAACACGGAGATGTTCCTGGTATTTTGCAGCTGTGGCATGAAACTGAACCTGGACTACTTGCTGGAGAAGCTCTGGGAATACCTGGCACTCACCTGCATCTACACCAAGAAACGAGGACGTAAGTGACCATTAGCTGAAAAGGAGGTTTAAAAGGCACAAAAAGCTGCTGCTTATCAAAGGCAGACCAGCTGCCAGCAGGGCTTGGGTGCCTGGCTGTCGGCGATCTCTTGTGTCGTGGAGATGCTGCAGTTACGCTCTGCCCTAACCAGCTTTCAGCTCTTGGGAAGGGCTTTCTGCTCCATCTGATGCAGCCGTGCGTATATCCCACCGCGGCCCTCCTATTCTCTCTGCGCTAGAAGAGCTGAATTTTCATAAGACTTTGCATGGTGAGATAAGGAAATAAAGTGTGCGATTTCGCAGCTTTCTTCCTTATTCCACACGCTCTGTGATGAAGTGTTCAGCCCGTCGCTACCCGGGAGAGGTCTCCGGTTCCCGCGGTGAGAGGTTTGGTGATTCCCGTGCCAGGCTCCTGAGGCGCAGGAGTGCCTTTGATCCTCCTTTTGCTTTACAATTTACTTCCAGCTTCTCCCAGTGATGAAGGCACGTCTATAACTTGCTCCTGGTTGGAGCCTGCGACTCTGAACTTGGGTGGATGTGAGGAGATTAAAGAACTTTCCATGAGCTTGTTAACCTATGAGATCTTGGAGATTTTACAGCAAGCTGCAGAGTGGTTTGGTTTTGCTTGGGCGGGTGTGGTTTGCCCTGGGTGGCTTTGTTTGTCCTAAGTGGAGTATTTGGAGTGGAGTTGGAGCAGGCTGTTGGCTGGGTGAGGGGGCGTCACTGTACTTGTGGGTACTGGAGCGTCTGCAGAACTGATCTGATGCTTTCGCAGGTACCCGGTTACCTGTTCTGTCTGGGAGCTGCCAGATGTAGCGGGAGGAGGAGTTTGGGAGTAGTGAGCACAAGGCAATGGGAGATGGTGTCAGCACATTAGAACACACTTGATGGAAATCCAGTGCTTATTTTCCCCCCCTCTCCTGCTTCTCCACAGAGAGACCAGACTTTACAGATGCCATTATTCTACGGAAAGGGGCCTCTGTGGAGCACGTGGTAAATTCTCTGCATCTTTTACGTTTCCTTGTCTGTAGAAGGCAGGTTGCTCTTGGAGCCTGGAGCCTGCTGTGATTCGTAAAGCTCGGGGCATGTTAGTTAGAAGCCCCCAGGAAAGGGCTTCTCCTTTTGTAACCCTTACTGGTTCTGTCTGCCTCAGGTTGCTTTCCTAGCTGCTATGAAAGTTTGAAGAAAATTACTTAATGCAGTCCAGTGAAAAAGCACATGGAAGTGGTGGACTGGGGCTTGGACTGGTGATGCCTGTGTGTCTGTTCTGTATGGTTTCAAGTGCTGTTAACTGGCTGCTGAAGCCACGATTTTCAGTTCTGACATAGACCTGAGCTGCTTCTAGTTCCTGGGTATTGAGCAAGTTGTTTGCACCGTGGTGTCGTTGAGCTGCCTCACGTGATGTCTGTCTGTCTTGCAGTGCCATCGAATTCACAGATCGTTAGCCAGCCAGTTCAAATATGCCTTGGTGTGGGTAAGTGTTTTCCAGCTGATGAAATCCCTGTCCTCGGGTGTCTCTGGCTGGCCTTCTCCTAACCCTTGTCCCGCTTTTGCTTTAAAGGGGACAAGCACAAAATACAGCCCTCAAAGAGTGGGCTTAACCCATATGATGGAGCATGAAGATGTCATTCAGATCGTAAAGAAGTAACCCTCTTTGCTGGTGCCTGGCCTGGTCTTTGATCACTAGAATTGGAACTGACCACATAAAAGCAAAACAAAACAAAAAAAAAGAAAAAGAAAAAGAAAAAAAAAAAAAGAAAAAGGGAGACGTGTTCTACAGCCAAGAAAGCAAGAAAGCTTCCGTGAAGCTCCTTCTCTTGGAGAAAGGCAGAAAACGAGGCTACTGTACTTGCAGGTGGGGATGGGGAGGATGGGTTTCCATCTTGCAGCATTTCAGGCAAAGTAGTGTTTCTGAAAAAGGAGCCAATTCTTCCAGGACACAGTTCCCACAGCCAGCAATGTCCCACCCCGGTAGCGTTTGCACGTGGATCCGCGTGTTAACCTACCAGTGGGAAGTTTATAGGTTTGCGTGAACAGATCTGGCCCTGGGCTTTGGGACAGGGAAGCCAGGGCTGAGAGAACATTGCTGATGCTTTGCTGCTTATCCCTTTGCTTAATGTAAGCATTGATCTGAAACAGAAACGAAGTGCTCCCGCCCCTGCTCGCTGGACACGTTGTCTCTGCAGCTTTCACTGTCGGAGACTTCAGTCTCTGCATCCGAGACAACCCCTGGTGAGTTTGTAATGGTCTCGCCTCCATTAACATTAAAACGTGGCGCTCTGTGCCTCTCCTTAGCTCTGCGGTAGGGTTTGTAGGACATCCTGGTCCAACTGGTACTGAGAGAGATGAGAAATGAAACTGTGTAAACGAGTGATTAACCTGGCCAGCTGCACCAGGGTACGATCCAAGAGCCGTAGGCTGCAGTGAGGGTTCACGTCTGGCGTGTCGCTCGTCCAGGAGCTGTCTTGGAGCTTCCTCCTGTGCTCTTGTCCTGCCCGTTAGTCCCCAAGAGCGTTGCTGGGGATCTCCTCCTTTCTCAGTCACACCCCTAAATCCCAGTAACAGCTCTTTGAGCTCAAAGTACCATCCCATGCCATGGGTTTTACCCCAGCCCTGTGAAACATTTGTTGCTTGTCTGGATATTTTTCATCAGAAGTCTGGGATTTTTCTGATCATGCTTTTTCATTGAATACCGATGCGGAACAATTCAGAGTGCCTGACAGAGAACAGCTCTTTCCTTCTGGGATCAAGAGCTGCCGATAGCTTTTATTTTCTTTCATTGAATAAGGGTTCGGTCTGATGTGGATTCTTCACTGTGAGGACAGGTCTGATAGCAGGCTTGTCTGAGCAGGGCTCCTTCCCTCTCCTTTGTGCTCCTCCCCGCCCCTCACAAACCGATCGAGCAGAAATGGAAGGATTATTTTATTTGAGAAAATAAAAGTCGCTATTTCATGGGAACTGTAGGTGTCTGCCTGCAGCGGGTAGACGGTTTGGTGTGTTTTCTAACTCCCTTTTTTGCCTGCGGCCACCTGAGAAAGCCTGGATGCTGTTGCAGGAGGTTGTAGGGGGGGAATAGATTGTGAAGCAGCTGCGAGAGGGCTCTGAGGCTTGAGGGGACTTGATAAGGTGTGATGGGAAATAAATAGATATTATACACAATACCCAAGCTAAGAAGGTGACTTTGAACTGTGTAAGTTCCCTTCCCTGTCCCTGGCTCTGTTCACAGCTGGAGTGCAGAGCAAATCTGGGCCGCGGTGGCAGCTAGCGGAGAATGAGCTCCCAACGAGCGGCACTGTGCCTGTGCTGGCTGGAGAAAGCGGCCGCTTCTCTGTGTGAATTGGGTGGGATGCCGTTCCAGCACATTAACTTGCCCTTTAAATTTCCTCTGAAGGTTGCACGGGCAGAGCTGCCCGCACAAAGAGTTCTTCTGGTTTCATTTCGTCTCCCTGAGTTTCTGACTTTTCAACTCCAAACCCGGGAGCCTGCCGAGCCCCGGCACGCGGGCAGGCAGCCAGAGGTGCCGGCGGGGCCTCGGCCCGGGGGC